AATGCTTTACGGACAGAATTACGTCCCTTGCGCGCACTAGAGAGTAATACTGGCCCCAGAATATACACGAAACATGAAAATTAGAATTTCCGCCAAAAAGTCAGATTCTAGCCCAAGCTGGACTTAAAAAATTTTCCACCTACGTTTCTACTGAAAACAGAATTCTAAGTCTACAAACACAATTCTACCGTCTTACTGGTAAAAAACTAGAAAATATCATCCGCATCGACTGGGGAATCCTAATGACGCCCAGAACATATACGTGACCCACGAATACAAATTAATTACAGTTAACGACTTTCCGACGTTGACTTAGCCGAAAACTTATCCCAAAATACTTAGAAATATTCCACGGACTCTATTAAGCATTTACACGCAACTCACTATCCCTTAAACTCCTTCACTTACTATAGTGACCGACCAATAGCCCTAAGTCCAGAGGATTAACTACGCTCTAGAAACAACGCCTCTGACTTAGACTAATACAACAGGGAATAGCCAAACTTAATGTATGCACTTAGCCTAATATGCAAGAAAATGCTAAACACTTTGATAAAAAAAAATTTAACCGGGGATTGAATGTAAGGAAAAAAAAATTAATCTCTAGAACAACGAAAATAAACAGAATTACTTTATAAATTTAAGTATACTTAATTCAAAAATGCACTCGACTTAATCTTATAATTGCTCCTACCGGCTCGCCGTACCACACCTAGCCTAGGGGTCTCGACCATCTAGGTTCCAACAGAGCGACACGCAGCTTTCAGCAACAATTACGACTAGGGACGACTCAACCTCCACTAAGTGTGCGATCACTTAGTTGTTGAATCGCTGCTAGGTAGGTTACTAGTCCGTCCCTCGGAGGCCGCAACGCCCTTCACGGATTTCCGTTTTTCCTAGCGTTTTGGGTCGTCTAATAACGCCCTCGGACTATCTACTGGCGTCCCACAGATATATCCGCCCAGACAGCCCACAAGGAACTGCTGTTGAGAGTATGGCGGCTCCCAACACCTCTGAATTAATTGCAATGGGTCGAGTAAGGTACCCAGTCCAATCAACTCGGAGCGGTCTCCTATTCAATAAATCTTAACAGCCTAAACTTACTAACTAAACCTTAATCATATCAGCCCGCATGACCCAAGATTCGCCAATCCCCACTCAAACGCACTGTTGTGAGGCGCACTGCTAATCCTGGCCCGCGGCTGTCTCCTTAGCATCCACGCACGTGTCCGAATGGCTAGACGCGTGAGCCTTTCAACAATTTCAAACAAAATTGTTGAAACCACCGCTGTGCACCATTGTAACACGGGGAGGGTTTCTCTCTCTACTTCTCTTTCCTTCTATTCCCCCTCTACCCGTATTCTTACTTTTTAATCTCTACCAGGGACTCCAAAACTTTTACCAAAGCCAATTCCACGCCACGTGGTCCTAAGACGATTGACCGACTTAGGATTCTACAATCCGTATGACGTGACCTAGGCTTTGAGCAAAACCCTAGAGTCGCCTCCGCCGCCACTACCAGACCAGTATTACAAGAGCAATGATCGAGGTCTGGATCGATCATGCTAATTAATCAACCTTGGGGCTTGATCCCCACTAGTAGTTTATAACCTCGGAAACTTGAGTGTGGAATTAATTACACGGGAATGAGGAATTCCGATTCGATGTTAGGATCGACGCCCAATCCAACTTTACCTCGTGTGGACCACGTGACCAGGACAAGTTCACATAACACATGGAAATAATAAAATGCAAATTATTAACTAATTAATTTATTAAAAGAAACTAAAACAAACTCTAAATATGTTCACTCCCTGTCACTTTTACACTCCCTACTTGACCTGAATGGCAAATGAGAAGACTATCCCTATAATTAACAATAGCAACTATACCTCTATGTTTTACCAGCTAAAGATGTTGGGCTGGTCTTGGGGAGAGGTAAGATGGTTGACCTCTCCCAGTTGCTCTGGAGTCCACACTGATCTCTTCCTCGTCTGCTCTAGCCCAGACTAGAGCATTGTATTGTTCCGCATAGTCTCAGTTTTTCCAAGTTACTTAGCCCGGTTTAAGTTATAACAATTAACCTCTGTTGTACTTAATTGATACAGACTGGTTGAATTATTTTACTGAAATTAAATTACACAAGCATCTAACGGCAGAGCTGTTCCCGATCCCCAAAATGGTTAATTGAACTTTGAGAAATAGTAGACATGTCAACCCTAATGACCTATGACCGCCGGTCACTCCGCCTTACAACTTAGATCTGATTCGTGACGTCACTGATGGTGACTTAAACTCAATAATTAGAATACTCTTGGTATTGTACCCAGTACTATTATACAATACAATTTTATTACAAAATGAATAAAGGCTAATTTCTCTAAATTACTGAATACTATAGGATGGTTCATTATACAAAACTATGAACAAAGATGCCCGCCATTTGTGACTCAGACCTGCTAATTCCCAGAGGAATGTGCGTTGTTGAGAGGTCAGGTCCCTACTCGAACTTCTGGAACCTTCTGGAATAATTCTTACAACAGCCTAGTTTGTTACATGTCTGGCACATGTTACACTGGCTGTCTGGCACATGTTACACTGACTGTCTGGCACATGTTACACTGACTGTCTGGCACATGTTACACTGACTGTCTGGCACATGTCACACTGGCTGTCTGGCACATATTACACTGACTGTCTGGCACATGTTACACTGACTGTCTGGCACATGTTACACTGACTGTCTGGCACATGTTACACTGACTGTCTGGCACATGTTACACTGACTGTCTGGCACATGTTACACTGACTGTCTAGCACATGTTACACTGGTTGTCTGGCACATGTTACACTGACTGTCTGGCACATGTTACACTGACTGTCTGGCACATGTTACACTGGTTGTCTGGCACATGTTACACTGACTGTCTGGCACATGTTACACTGGCTGTCTAGCACATGTTACACTGACTGTCTGGCACATGTTACACTGACTGTCTGGCACATGTTACACTGACTGTCTGGCACATGTTACACTGGCTGTCTGGCACATGTTACACTGACTGTCTGGCACATGTTACACTGACTGTCTGGCACATGTTACACTGACTGTCTGGCACATGTTACACTGACTGTCTGGCACAGGTTACACTGACTGTCTGGCACATGTTACACTGACTGTCTGGCACATGTTACACTGACTGCCTAGCACATGTTACACTGACTGTCTGGCACATGTTACACTGGCTGTCTGGCACATGTTACACTGACTGTCTGGCACATGTTACACTGGCTGTCTAGCACATGTTACACTGACTGTCTGGCACATGTTACACTGACTGTCTGGCACATGTTACACTGACTGTCTGGCACATGTTACACTGACTGTCTGGCACATGTTACACTGACTGTCTGGCACATGTTACACTGGCTGTCTGGCACATGTTACACTGACTAGCACATGTTACACTGACTGTCTGGCACATGTTACACTGGCTGTCTGGCACATGTTACACTGACTGTCTGGCACATGTTACACTGGCTGTCTAGCACATGTTACACTGACTGTCTGGCACATGTTACACTGACTGTCTGGCACATGTTACACTGACTGTCTGGCACATGTTACACTGGCTGTCTGGCACATGTTACACTGACTGTCTGGCACATGTTACACTGACTGTCTGGCACATGTTACACTGACTGTCTGGCACATGTTACACTGACTGTCTGGCATAGGTTACACTGACTGTCTGGCACATGTTACACTGACTGTCTGGCACATGTTACACTGACTGCCTAGCACATGTTACACTGACTGTCTGGCACATGTTACACTGGTTGTCTGGCACATGTTACACTGACTGTCTGGCACATGTTACACTGGTTGTCTGGCACATGTTACACTGGCTGTCTAGCACATGTTACACTGACTGTCTGGCACATGTTACACTGACTGTCTGGCACATGTTACACTGACTGCCTAGCACATGTTACACTGACTGTCTGGCACATGTTACACTGGTTGTCTGGCACATGTTACACTGACTGTCTGGCACATGTTACACTGGTTGTCTGGCACATGTTACACTGGCTGTCTAGCACATGTTACACTGACTGTCTGGCACGTGTTACACTGGCTGTCTGGCACATGTTACACTGACTGTCTGGCACATGTTACACTGACTGTCTGGCACATGTTACACTGACTGTCTGGCACATGTTACACTGACTGTCTGGCACATGTTACACTGACTGTCTGGTACATGTTACACTGACTGTCTGGCACATGTTACACTGACTGTATGGCACATGTTACACTGTCTGGCACATGTTACACTGACTGTCTGGCACATGTTACACTGACTGTCTGGTACATGTTACACTGACTGTCTGGCACATGTTACACTGACTGTCTGGCACATGTTACACTGACTGTCTGGTACATGTTACACTGACTGTCTGGCACATGTTACACTGACTGTCTGGCACATGTTACACTGACTGTCTGGCACATGTTACACTGGCTGTCTAGCACATGTTACACTGACTGTCTGGCACATGTTACACTGACTGTCTGGCACATGTTACACTGACTGTCTGGCACATGTTACACTGACTGTCTGGCACATGTTACACTGACTGTCTGGTACATGTTACACTGACTGTCTGGCACATGTTACACTGGCTGTCTGGCACATGTTACACTGACTGTCTGGCACATGTTACACTGACTGTCTGGCACATGTTACACTGGCTGTCTGGCACATGAACTGCACCTCGGGTATGAACATATTTCTTAGAGAACACTCTGCAAGCCGTCTGTCATTCTCAAATATGCGACGTTGCATTGCAGTAGGAAGTCCAAAATTTGCATAATCCTCCAAGTAGAAGACAGAAGGCGAAAAGAGATATGTCCTAACGGAGTAAAGTAATTCTAATATGAGAAATACATAAGGAAACAACAGGATGTAAACATGGTTGACTTTATGGCTACATACTTCTCCACTCTGCTCCGTTTATTAGATTAACAAAAACACTTTCTACTTTATTATGGGCCAACTTACGTATTTGTAGTTCAAAGTAAATGGTTTTAATTGTCTTTTGATTAAACAAATAAAATCCAGGAATGTTATCAGCCATGGATGCATATACACAATGGATGACGACGTAAGCAACACCTGAAATAACACAAAAAAAATCGCAAAGACAATCAAACCAGACGGAGTCAAAGTGGACGTTCAACACACCAGACAACTAGAAGCACACTGTGCAACACAAGGTGTTTCATAACTAAATTTAATGAAGGAATGCAAAAGCTTTAATATGAGGAGTCCATAGAGCAAGTCTATCAGAGTACTGTGTTGCACACAGGCATTGTATGACACTGGGTACTGTGTGGCACCTGGGGTACTCTGTGACAACTTGGAACTGTGTGGCACCTGGGAACTGTGTGGCACCTGGGTAATGTGTGGCACCTGGGTACTGTGTGGCACCTGGGTAATGTGTGGCACCTGAGAACTGTGTGGTACCTGGGAAATGTGTGGCACCTGGGAAATGTGTGGCACCTGACTAATGTGTGGCAACTGGGTAATGAGTGGCACCTTACTAATGTGTGGCAACTGGGTAATGTGTGGCACCTGAGAACTGTGTGGTACCTGGGAAATGTGTGGCACCTGGGAAATGTGTGGCACCTGACTAATGTGTGGCACCAGGGTACTGTGCGGCACCTAGGTACTGTGGGGCACCTGGGAACTGTGTGGCACCTGGGTAATGTGTGGCACCTGGGTACTGTGTGGCACCTGGGTAATGTGTGGCACCTGAGAACTGTGTGGCACCTGGGTAATGTCTGGCAACTGGGTAATGTGTGGCACCTGGGTAATGTGTGGCACCTGAGAACTGTGTGGTGCCTGGGAAATGTGTGGCACCTGGGAAATGTGTGGCACCTGACTAATGTGTGGCACCAGGGTACTGTGCGGCACCTAGGTACTGTGGGGCACCTGGGTACTGTGTGGCACCTGGGTACTATGTGGCACCTGGGTATTGTGCGGCACCTTGGAACTGTGTGACATCTTTGTACTGTGTGACATGTGGGTACTGTGTGGCACCTGAGAACTGTGTGGCACCAGGGTACTGTGTGGCACCTGAGAACTGTGTGGCACCTGGGTAATGTGTGGCACCTGAGAACTGTGTGGTACCTGGGAAATGTGTGGCACCTGGGAAATGTGTGGCACCTGACTAATGTGTGGCACCAGGGTACTGTGCGGCACCTAGGTACTGTGAGGCACCTGGGTACTGTGTGGCACCTGGGTACTGTGTGGCACCTGGGTATTGTGCGGCACCTTGGAACTGTGTGACATCTTTGTACTGTGTGACATGTGGGTACTGTGTGGCACCTGAGAACTGTGTGGCACCAGGGTACTGTGTGGCATCTGAGAACTGTGTGGCACCTGGGTAATGTGTGGCACCTGAGAACTGTGTGGTACCTGGGAAATGTGTGGCACCTGGGTACTGTGCGGCACCTGAGAACTGTGTGGCACCTGGGAAATGTGTGGCACCTGGGTACTGTGTGGCACCTGGGTACTGTGCGGCACCTAGGTACTGTGGGGCACCTGGGTACTGTGTGGCACCTGGGTACTGTGTGGCACCTGGGTACTGTGCGGCACCTTGGAACTGTGTGACATCTTTGTACTGTGTGACACCTGGGTACTGTGTGGCACCGTGGAACTGTGTGGCACCTGGGTACTGTGTGGCACCTTGGTAATGTGTAGCACCAGGGTACAGTGCGACACCTTGGAACTGTGTGGCACCTAGGTACTGTGTGGCATCTGGGTAATGTGGCACCAGGGTACTGTGTAGTACCTGGGTAATTTGCGGCACCAGGGTACTGTGTAGTACCTGGGTAATTTGCGGCACCTTGGAACTGTGTGGCACCTGTGTAATGTAAGGCACCTGGGAACTGTGCGGCTAATAAATATTGTGTGGAACCTGGTTGTTACTATGTGGCACCTGGGTACAGTGTGGCACCTGGTTACAGTGTGGCACCTTGGTACAGTGTGGCACCTGGATACTATGTGGCAAATTGGTACTGTGTGGTACCGGGGTACTGTGCAGCACCTGGGAACTGTGTGGCACCTTGGAACTGTATGCCACCTGGGTACTGTGTGGCACCTGAGTACTGTGTGGCACCCGGTTACTGTGCAGCACCTAAGAATTGTGTGGCATCTGGGTACTGTGTGGCACTCGAGTACTATGTACCATCTGGGTAATGTGTGCTTTTCTGGGTACTGTGTGGCACTTGAGAATTGTGT